CGGCAGGGGGAGGGGGGGGTGGCGTGTAGTAATTATGATTTGCATACAACCTCAAGTGAAAAGTAAAACAAGTAGTTTCCGTGATTGAAAGAGGAGCCCGGGCCCTCGGACAGGGGTAGGAGGAGGGAAGGGGGGTTGACGCATGCGCCCGCCGTGGCGAGTAACGATCGGCGGTGGGCGGCGGGAGGGGCGGCGAGCGTTTTGCGGGTCATTGGGTTACGGCGCTCTCAGTTCGGCGGGTTGCGCGACGGCGAGAGGATGTGCTGTGCCGGTTGCGGCGTGTCGCGGCGTGCGCGACCCATCGCGAGTGACCGCTAGAAAGTGCGCCTTCATTTCCTTGCGAATGCTGCCTTGCGCCATTATCCGTTAGCGTGCGCAACTTTGCGCCTTCATTCATCTCTCTATGCAACGCGAGTTACCTCGCACCTTCATTTGTTTGCATATGCAACGGGGGTAACCTTGCTCAGCCCCGGCGCCTTCATTCACCTGTGTATGCAACGTGTGTAACATTGCTCCTTCACCCGTCTTCAGATGCAACGCGAGTAATCTCGTGCCTTCATCCGTTCGCTTATGCAACCAAGATAATCTCGCTCGACCCTAGCGCCTTCATTCACCTGTGTATGCAACGCGTGTAACTTTTGCGCCTTTGATAGTCTGTGTATGCAACGTGGATATTGGGTTCATTGATAACACGTGTAACAGTGCAGCTTGAACATGCAACGTGATTAACCTCGCGCCTTCGCCCGACTGCGTATGCAACGTGTTTAACTTTGCGCCTTCACTTGTCAGCATATACCTTGCGAGTAAGCTCGCGCCTTCATCCGACTGCGTATGCAGTGTGTGTATCCTTGCGCCTTCATTCGGCTGCGTATGCAACGCGGGTAACCTTGCTCGGTCCCGGCCCGATGAGGGTTCCGGCTCTGTTGACCCTCGTCGCCTGTGCCTTGTGCTCCGTGTCGGCCAGTGAGTTCCCCGACCGGGAGTGCTGTGACCCGGTCTTCCCGCTGGCTGCCCTCTCGGCCTCCGTCACCCCGGATACCGCCGCCGCAGCAACTCCAGGTACCACTCTCACTCATCCTAATAAAAATCACCGCCTCAGCAACATCGAAGGAGATACGGGTTGTTCATAAATTGCGAAATGCTCTTGCAAGGGTATGAAAATACGCCACGCACGCTGAGGGATAGGGGGGGGGGTAGTAGCTCTCTCTATTCTGCCGTGCTAAAGAAGAATGCCTTATGAATATTCGAGAGTTGCACTATTTCTTTCGATAAAATATTAATTTTTGAGGAAAGCTATTCATATTTTCCGTCACAATTATTAAAAACTTTAGGTAAGACTGCGAACAAAATTATCTGAAAAGTTGCAAGAGAAATATTCACACATTTTCCCGAAAATTAGTATTATCTAAAAGGAAATTTGGCAACGACTGAGAGTTCATACGGCGTTTTTCCTTAGCAAGGCAGTATTGGCAAAATTACACCCTTTCAAAATGTGCGGTCCTCATTTCTTCGACGTTCTTTGAAACACTGTCATTAAAAATACTTACAATAATGTTTGGGATCTTAAGAGTTAGGGGAGGGGGGGGGTCCGTCAAACGTTACGTAATTTTCAAGGAAAGGGATTCAAGGTTCCATAGCGAAGCGTTTCAATGGGGGAGGGGGAGGGTCAAAAATGCCGAAAAAAAGCGTTACGTACTTTATGAACGCTGCCTTATCAGCGAGAAAATATCTCATGTTACGAGGAAAGTATTACGTCCAAAAATAGCGTTTTGGGGAAATGAACTTAGTGGCAGTTCAAAAAATACCCTCTATTGGTGCAGAAGGTGAAGGGGTACATGTACAAGTCCACGTTACAGACGTACTAAAGTGAAAGATGGGGACAGCAGAGGACACCATGCTGACCGTGCACCGCTTGGACACTAAGTGTCCAAGCGGTGTCGTCAAGAGCAGTGAGTACCAAGTCTTCGTACTCACTGCTCTTGACGACAACAGGAGGCATGGTGATTTTAACCTTGTTCCTTGCTTTATGATACTACTTTCTCCCGGAAAACTGACCTCAGTCCAGAGTATAAGAAACTTAATTTGAATGCCGCACTGTCGCGTCCTGTGGTGGCCCTTACTTTCAACGGCAAGAAAGAGCTTAGCGCCTGCATTGCCTAGCATTGCCTGTTTTTTAACCAATAATTTGATACGTTATTTCTGAGGATTAAGAATAGCAGGATTTTCTCCTTTTGTAGGATATTTAATCAAATGAGTTGTAATTAGTTATTTCCAGTATTTTAATTCTAAACCTCCGTGAATAATGAAATCATAACGTTATCTGGCTCATCTTTAAATTTTCACATAAAAAGCAGTTAATTCAACGGAAGAATTTGAAAATCAACTCCTGAACGAAATCCAAACACGTGCAATTAACATTTCACAAATGAAACAAAAAGTACACTACTAACGCCATTTGAGGGGCTTGGAGGACAAAGCGCATATGTGCATTTTTTGAAAAAAATCAAGGTATTCATGAACTCACCTGAAACCAGCTCGAAAGTATACCCTGTGAAAAATACTCGAATAAAAGGTGAAATGAAGTGGTGGAGGTAACTCTTGGTTTTTTAGCCGTGTGAATCGTTGTTTCCGGAAGATTCTGAAGGTAATCAATTGCATTTTTTCTTAGCTCAGGTCTGCGTAGTAGTGCATTCTTCCATTAAACGGATAGGTTTTTCCAAAAAAAAAGGCACAAAGTAGATATGACCATTTTGCTCAACGCTACTCATTTCGTCCCCGAGACCCCCAGCCCCCCGGGGTCTGGGGGGAGGGGGGGGGCTGTTGCGAACGCAAAAGTCGGAAGAGGGAGAGCCCGGGTCCCGACGGGAATTAACTCTGGCGAATTAAGTTGGGTGTTCGGCGGCGCACAGTGGATCGAGTCAATGGGGAATCCCGGACAAAGTTTGGAAACTTTAAACGCTGATAACTCCGTTTATACAATACTTTGAGGTTCTGAAAGTGGTTTCATTGGTTTCCTCGTAAAATTTTTTTCTAGAAACATCCCTTGAAATGTAAAATGTGACGAAATTAACAATAAAATTTGCAGTTTTAGGAAATAAATTTATATCCGACCTCTCTGATTGACTCGATTTACTGAGCGGCGGCGGGTGAGCGGAAAATAACTCTCTCAGCATGACAGCTCGGCGCGGGCACGACAGCCGACAGATGCAGCCGCCGCACAGTAAATAAACTCACGTCGGCCATGATTTGCAAACTGTAAAAGCTTATATCTTTATTCATACGGAATGGAGAAGTTTAAAATGGCTTCAAAGGTTTCATTGGACATTTTTTCCCGAGATTCAGCCCTAAAAATTTGTAAGTCGACGAAATGAAACATAAAAATCGCAATTTAAGACACTGATTTTGAGCTGGTCCGCTGGTCTATGACACGATCCACTGTGCGACGCCGCCGCGGTGAGGAAACCGACGCCTGTCAAAAAAACCTCAAGAATATGCCCGTTTTGCCTCTGAGTGTTAAATCTCTTTGACGGAAACATACCTGTGAATTTAATTTTTTACAAAAAAAAACTTGGAAATTTCTTGAAGAAAGCTCTGAAAAAACTTTTGAAATGATGGAATATATGTTTTCGAAAAACCCTTTTACCATAATTTTTGAAGTAAAATGTGCAGGTGGAAAAATTTAAGTCTTATTCATTGCAGAATGCGAGAAATAATTATTGGCTTTAGTTCTCTTTAGCATTAAATTACATCAAAGGAACGACCGATTTTCGAGGGAGATTATGGGAGGGTCGGGAGTGCCTGATGTCAAAATTAAAACTGAAAAAATTGGGACTCCATTTACTCCAGAATTCTAATAATGATTTACAATACAATTTTTTAGATTATTATATGAGCCAATTACATGATGGAGTTCACTCGAAATTTACAGGTGCTGTTCTTTCTATGAGATTGAGGTAATACATCGATGAAGGAAAAACCTTGAATACGATCTAGGGATAGAATATTACTGAATGTCTATCTGATGACTTGTAATTGCACACGTCTGCTTACATGCATTGAAATGCGTCTGAATCTGAACTGCAAACACGAGGCATCTCAAAACGCCTTCATTGGAATTGCTTATGCATCACGCACAACCATTGAGTTCGTAAAGTTGCACGAAAGCGCCTTCCGCGAAGTCGCATCCTTACGATCGCGATGAAGAGTCCATTATTGTTGAGACGGAGACAACCAGACATAAGTATTTTGATTTCTGATTTCTTTTTCTTTTTCTTTTTTTTTTGTGGAGGAGCGTAGAGACAACCGAATTTTCTGATTTCATTATTTTTCAAAATGCAATTAATTCAATCAGGAGAAATACATCGATTCCGTCAAATATCGAAACACTCCGCTCCTACAGCAAATGAGGTACAGCAAGAGTTCCAGGGCTCACTCATCAGACTGCAAAGCCCTAGTTTTTCAAATTTAGGACACCTAATAGATATGAGAGAGCATTAGTTCCATAAAACTTCGTTCCTCTTACAAAGAAACGTAACTACATTTCAATGTTGCCAAATTTCCCCCACACATTACACTTTTACAAGGAAAATCTTGGGAGTTTCTTACTGATAATTTCAATGAATTTTCTTCTAATTTCATGCAAGAATCAAGAAAATTCCGGACAAAAATTTCTCAGGTATATTATTGTAAAAAATCGAATTGTTCGAGTCAATTTTGCAACCTTGGAATGGAGTTATGTTCCTTCGTACGGGAGACGACGAAAAGACAGCACTAAATGCTAATCACTCCGCAAAACGGCAGTATATGTCTTTGGAAAATTAGCTCAATTTCTGTCGACTTCGAATCATGTTATTCCACTTTATAAATACGCGATGAAGCCGAAGGTATCATGTACTCCCGTTCTGCGTGGCGTGAAATAAAGAGAATATCCTATGCTCCTAATGTGAAGTTAAAGCTTAAACTCTAAGCGGTAACGGTGCGAAATCAGGGAGAAAACGGGCAGAGGAGAGTAAAGGAGTGAAGAAGAAGGGACTCCTAATACCGCGAGTGATAAATTTCATTTTTATCGGCGCCGCTTGAACAGTCTAATTGCTCCGATGAATGCAGGCACCATTCGCAGATTGCAACTCCATCGTTGCCAGTTTTTCAACCTTTTTTACTCGTCGTCATCGGGTGTATTTTCGGCGTTCGGCGCAAACTGTCAACCGTGTTAGACCTCGTGAAACCCGCGGCTTTTGTGATTGTTCTCAGGAAAATTTATTCCTTTCAGTGATAAAATGGCTGTGATTCAGTTCACTTGTTCGAACTACTTTCTTCGACCGAAAAGAGCTAGCGCTCGTTTTGAAGACCTTTCTTCCCAAAAATGTGGAGCCCTTATTGAATTTCGATTTTTTTAAAGCGTCTCCAATGATGTTTTCAGAGGCCTTAGCGTAAGATTGGTCCCATCTCAAGTGACGGCATTGAAACTCTTTCCTAGATTTATACATCTGAGCCTTCGCGGTGAAAGACCTTAGCGTCACATTAAGACACGAAAATTTTTGCAATGAATAAAGTACCAGACCTGAGAAGTTAAGACCAAGGCTAATTGCGAGACTGATTGAGGTTTCCACTTTAAATCCTGTTGTTAAGGTGATCCGACGGACGCCATTTTTTGTGTCAGAGCGACGTGCAATATATCGCATCAATTCGCTCCATAATTTCAGCTCCTTGTCATTTTTTCGAATTTTAAGATCGCACTTCTGTTGTCATGAGACTAAAAAATTCATGTACTAAATGTGACGAAGAAATTCAACGTAATAAAGGCAGTGTTTTTGTAGAGGAAAAATATCGCATTCAATACTGATATCGAAACTGCACTCGAACGATCTTTTTCATCTGAAAAACCCCTGCCTTTAATACATTGAATTTCTTCGTCAAATTTGGTACATGAATTCTCTGGTCTCATAACAACAGAAGTCCGATCTCAAAATTCGAAAAAAATGACAAGTAGCTGAAATTATGGAACGCATTGATGCTATATATCGCACGTCGATCTGACACAAAAAAATGGCAACCGTCAA